GCTGTTGGCAAGGACACCCAGGCATTGGCACCGACTGCTGCAAACCCGGTGCCCTCCACAACATGGAGACAGGTTTTTCTCTCTTTCTCCGCCTTCCCTGCACCACAGGGATGGAAACCCAGGCTGAGAGGGAGTCCAGGGAGCTGCCGGCCAGAAGGGGCACGTGAGAGCCACGCTGAGTCGGCAACCTGCCTCCACAGCCTGGCCTCGTGGGGACTGCCCGGCTTGGCCCCGATGGCCCTGCGTCTGCCCAGCAGCAGCAAACCTAAGGCGGCCGTTTGCCAGCAGCAAGATTATCGCTGCAGTAGCTTTCGTGCCTGCGTGTGTCACTGACCCCACTCCTGGATGAGGCCAGACGGCCGAGCAGAGACCGAGGAGTCATCTGGGGCAGGCGGCGGGGGGGAGGGGAGGTGAAGTCAGGGAGCCAGGATACTGGGCGTGTTCATGATTCATTTCCACCCCGACTGTAGGGCTTGGATCCACGTCTAAATGTGGGTGCTGGGGCTGGAGGGTGCTCAGGATGCTAGAACTGAGGACCCAGGGCCCGGGGGCGGGAGCGGGCGTGGAGCGGGTCGTGCGCTGGGCGGGGGCGCCTTCCCCAGGTGGCCTGGTTCTGCGTTCAGGAGAGGGAAACTGCCGCCTGTGGGCACGCGTGTTTATTTTCTCCCTCCTCCTCCTCTCCCTTCCCTCCTGCTATAATAAGTAATAAATACCTACAAAGTGCCGATCCTGGCCTGGGCCTTTCCGAGCACAGGGATAGACAGCACTGCCAAGATGATTGGCAGCTCAAACGGAAGGGGATGTCTGTGCAACGTCAGTCGTCCTTTTATGTGACCGTTCATTCCACGTGCCAACTCGGCTGGGCCTCAGTGCCCAGATATCTGGTCAAACAGTATTCCAGGCCGGGCGTGGTGGCTCACGCCTGTCATCCTGGCACTCTGGGAGGCCGGGTGGGAGGATCGCTCGAGGTCAGGAGTTTGAGACCAGCCTGAGCAAGAGCGAGACCCTGTCTCTACTAAAAACAGAAATAAATTAATTGACCAACTAAAAATATATACAGAAAAAATTAGCCAGGCATGGTGGCGCGTGCCTGTAGTCCCAGCTACTTGGGAGGCTGAGGCAGGAGGATCACTTGAGCCCAGGAGGTGGAGGTTGCTGTGAGCGAGGCTGACGCCATGGCACTCACTCTAGCCTGGGCAACAGAGTGAGACTCTGTCTCAAAACAAACAAAACGTTATTCCAGATGTTTCTGGGAGGGTGTTTTTGGATGGACATTTCCATCAGACTCAGGGTGAAGTAGACTGCCCTCCACCATGTGGGTGGGCCTCGCCCGTCGGCTGAAGGCCCGTGGAGGACAAGAGACTGGCCTCCCCTGAGCGAGAAGGAATTTGCAGCCCACGAGCTTTGGACATGAACTGGAACGTCTGCTCTTCTCCGGGTCCCCGGCTTGCCAGCCCGCCCCGCAGATCCTGAACTTGCCAGCCTCCACAGCCTAAGCCTGGCCCTCAAACAAGTCTCCGTCTGGACACATAAACATCCTGGTGCCTCTGCTGCTCTGGCGGATGCCAGCTGGGACGCCCTCCAACGTCGCCCTGTGGCCTGTGCCGGCAGCATCTCTGGCTGGGACCGCCAAGGCTCCCCCAATGCCAGCATCTCCTGCCCTCCTGCCCGGCCAGAGCGGCCGGGGCTGGCTCCCCAAAGCACAGACCCGATACTGTTCTGCTGGCAGCCCTTCCCCTCGCCCCTCCCCCTCCCCAGCAAAGCCTCCCCTGCCTCAGCCGTCCATGCACCCTGCACGGCCTTCGTGATTTTTGTTTATACCAGACTTTCCTCTTGCTGGAACCAAAGGGAGAGAAATAGAACAAAAGGGATCTGAATTTCCTCCCTGGATTATGCAAAACTGCTCAGCACTAAATCCATGTCTGAAATACCGTAAGGAAAGTAGTCCGCTCCCTGTTTCGGGACGCTGCATCACAGGATGAAATCTGTTCTCCTTTGCAGGGACTTGGACGTCCTTCAGCATCAGCGCGTGCATCCCCCTCTCCGTGTTGGTGGAGAATGGTCCAAAAGCCCCTGTGGACACCAAAGTCCTTTATGTCACAGAAAACGGAGCAGCATCTGCACATAACCTAGGCACATTCTCTCGCACACTTTAAACCCTCTCTGTGCTACTCGTCACACCTAGTGCCACGCGTGCACGTCACTTCACTTGCATGGGTTCGACGTAGTGCTTGGAAAATTAAAGTTTTGCTTTTTGGAACTTTGTGGAATTAGTTTTTCCTAAACATACTCGATCCACACTGGCTGAGCCCACTGATGCAGGACCACGGATAGGGAGGCCTGCCGTGTCTGCGAAATGCCAGCACGTGCCAGGCCCTGAGCGACTCATCCCAGCTACGTGGAATTATGCATTTAATATGTTTTGTTTTTTTTTTTTCCTGAGACAGAGTCTCACTCTGTTGCCCAGGCTAGAGTGCCGTGGCGTCAGCCTCGCTCACAGCAACCTCAGGCTCCTGGGCTCAAGCGATCCTGCTGCCTCAGCCTCCCGAGTAGCTGGGACTACAGGCATGTGCACCATGCCCAGCTGATTTTTTCTATATATGTTAGTTGGCCAATTAATTTCTTTCTATTTTAGTAGAGGCAGGGTCTCTCTCTTGCTCAGGCTGGTTTCGAACTCCTCCCGCCCCAGCCTCCCAGACTGCTAGGATGATAGGCATGAGCCACTGAGGCCGGCCCATTTAATATGTTTTAAAGAGCCCTATTCACTTCTGAACCCTGGCCTTTTTCTGCCTTACCTCTTGGCCACTGTAAATTACTCCCAAAAAATGATCTGAGAATAGAACAGAAAAACGTTAAAGACGGCAGAGAAGCCGAGAAGCCGTCTTTAACACTTCGCCCACGCAAATGCCACGGACATCCTGCACCGCTTTCTGAGAAAGTGCATCGTGTTTCCTTGCTTCCTGGAGAACTCCTTCTCGAGCCCCCAATCCAGCTACCTCCTGTGTGAGTGTGCCCCTCGCACCCTCTCTCTCAGCCCTGGCACTTGCGCCCTGCCCGCGCCAGCGTGTATCATCGTCACTCCGCAAGCACGCAAGTGCTTTCCTCCGGCTAGAGCTCCAGGGAGGTGGGAGCGCGTCTTGATCATTGCCAGGGGCTTTCAAGGGGCCCTCTCTCTCTCCCGCCTGGTTGCTGCACGCACTGAAAAATAAAACAGAAAAGAGGCTATGGGGATCACGACATCATTTTTTTTTTAAGAGGAAGGCCAAATTAGAAAATATGGCTACTCCTGAAACTAAATGGCCCTGCTAAGTGAATCCAGAACTGGACCGTCTCACTTGCCACTCGAGGGTCACACAGGACCGAGCGGGTCTCCCCATGTGGGGTAGAAGAGCCCATCCCTGGAGAAGTGGCACCGCAAACGTCGCCCCAAAGGCAGCTACCCTCCAAGCGAAAGATTCGTTAAATCAGAAATCCCTCTCTTTTAACAGAATTTCTTTTTTACACGCCATGTTTCCTGCTTTTGCCTCATAAAGACTAACGTGCTACTTGCCTTCAGCATGACTTTCAGTTACCTAACTACCTGTGTTTCCCTGAAAATCAGACAGGGTCTTATATTTATTTTTCCTCAGGAAGACACCCTAGGGCTTATTTTCAGGGGACGTGTTGGATTATTTGCAGGGCAGGTTGGTTCTACAGGCCCAGTGCTTCCCTTTCCAAATTCCCCAGTTAGGGGTTCTCAGGGAAAACTCCCCTCCCTCCACTCATGGCCTGGGGCAGGGGTGTTTCAGCTGTTAGAATTAAGCTCTCAGATCTCATGGATCATAAAATTTCAGAAAACCAGAGGGATGAGAACTCAGGCATTAGCTATCTTGACCACCCCACCCCCTCCCCCCAAAGAGAAGGGACTTGCCTAAGGTCACTTAATTGTCACCTGAGTGTTCTGTAGCTTTAATCTATAATTTGCATGGCAGATATATACTACTGATTTTTTTTTTTTTTTTTTTGAGACAAAGTCTCATCCTGTTGCCCTGGCTAGAGTGCTGTGGCGTCAGCCTAGCTCACAGCAACCTCCAGCTCCTGGGCTTAAGCAATCCTCCTGCCTCAACCTCCCTAGTAGCCAGAACTACAGGCACGCACCACCATGCCCGGCTAATTTTTTTCTATGTATTTTTAGTTGGTCAATTAATTTCTTTCTATTTATAGTAGAGACGGGGCCTCGCTCATGCTCAGGCTGGTTTCGAACTCCTGACCTTGAGCAATCCGCCCGCCTGGGCCTCCCAGAGTGCTAGGATGACAGGCGTGAGCCACTGCGCCGGGTCTATACTACTGATTAATATTGATTAATATTGCCTCCCACCCCTGGCAACGCTGCTGGGGTTCTGGGCTGAGTGCTTACCCCAGTAGAACCCTGGGCTCAGGGCTGCCCCGAGGGGCACCCCTACCCAGCGCATCCTGGCACAGGCCTGTAACTGTGGATTCAGGAAACCCGGTCCTTGGCTAACTCAATTCTCTCCACATAATTAAAAGCGGGAGAAGTGAAATGTCAGGAGGAGGAAATACGCATTTAATACATTTTAAATCCTGGCCTTTTTTTTTCCTGCTTTAATTCTCAGCCACTGTCAATTACTTAAAAAAAAAAGATTTTAGAATAGAAAAAGGGGCAAGGAGGCAGAGAAGCTGTCGTTAACGTCTCCTCTTCCTTTGGCATCCTTTAGGAGTTCAGTTCTGAAGCACAGAGCAGGAGGCAGAACCGGCCTCCTTTAAATGAAGATAGGATTTTTTTTTTTTTGCTTGAGCTCTTTCCCCTAAAACTACCCCTAGAGAACGAAGACCTCTACCAGCGCTGCTTGGGACAGAAGGCGTTTCCAAGTCCTCACTAGCGGGAATAGGGCAAACGGGTTCCCCAGCAAGGCCCGGCTGAGTTCGCCGCTGACTCCACTCCATGGAGCGGGGCGCGGGTGGGGGCGGGAAGGCGCGGAATCCCGCCTCCTGCTTGGGCAATGCCGGGGAATGCTTCTGCGCCTCGTCACCCTGCGCTCGGGCAACCTCACTCTCCAAGCCTCCTGACTGCCCGGGAGTCCGCAGCCTCGAAACCAAGAAAGGAAGAAACCAGGCGGGTTATTTACGAGGTGCTCTCCCCCCCCCGCGTGTCAACCCCCTGCAAAATAAACCCATCTGTCACCGGCCCCGGGGACCTCGCCGGGGCAAGCAGACCCGCCCCCACCCAGCGGACCAGGGTGACGACAGCGCAGCCGGACGCAGCGCGCAGTCTCGGCGCTGCTGGCTCGCTCTGTCCGCGTCTGGCGGGGCTCAGGGCGCGGGGACGCCACCCGCCACCCGAGGCTGCGGCGCCAGAGAGGAGACGGGGTGCCCCGGCAGCCTCCCCAACCCGGCCCGGAGCGCGCGCGGACTCGGCGGCTCGCGGTGCCACTGCCCCCCGGGGCCCAACGCAAGGCTCACCTGCGGGCTCCGCGCAGGTACAGCCGGGTGCTGAGCAGGGCGGGCGGGACGACTAGGGCCGGCGGGGGCCACCGGCTCCCTCCCGAGTGCAGGTGGCGGGTGCCGTGCGCTCCGGGTCCCCGGGCGCGCGCGCGGGGTGCCCTGAGAGTTGCGAAGTGGCCGCTTGGACGGGACCGAGACGTGGAGCTGTTGGCTGTCCGAGACGCGCGGCGGGCTCCCGGACTTCCGAGGCCGCCGGGTCGGGGAGGGTCCCCGCAGGAGGTGTCCGGACCCGGGGTTCTGGGGGCTGCGCTTGGGCGGAGGCGGCGCGGTGGAAGCAGCCGGCTTGGACGCGCTGGCAGTCCAGGCCGAGCGACTTAGAAACAGGAGAAGGGCGGGTGGTCCTGAGCCGCGGTTTTGGGGGGGGCTGCACGCGCGGACTGAGGCTTATCGGGAGAGGGCTGGCTTGGGGGCCCCGCGGGAGGCGGGCAAGCTGAGGGCACCGGGAGGGGCAGGTGGTTTCGGAATCCCCAGGGGAGTGGAGGGTTCGGGAGCCCATCCCGGAGGAAAGCGGCTCATTCTGACGCGCCCCGTCCCCCAGCGGAAGCTGCTGGACATATTAGGGAGCCGGCGCTGGTGTAGACAATTCCCGCTCGTTTGCAGCAGCTCGGCTTGGCTCAGAGGAGGAGAAGGTAAGTGGAATGGGGATTTCTGGGGTGGCGGCTGAGCAGCCCACGGTCGGCGCTTGTGCCTGGAGGAGTCCCAGGCGACTCGGGCTTCCCGGGAAGCGGACGAGTGCGCCCCGCGTGCGCGCGCGTCCTTAGAGACGCACGGGGATCTCTCACCGCGCCCTGCTGTGTTTCAGGCTGGGACCCGGCAGAGCCGCCCGCGGAGTCCCGAGCGAGCCCCGGCGGGCTGCGGCGCGCAGGACTCGGCGCGGCGCGCATGGAGGGCTGGGGCGCTGGGGCGGCCAACGCGAGCGCCGCGCCGCCGGGCGCAGGAGGCAACCACACGGCCGGGCCGCCGCGGCGCGACGAGGCCCTGGCGCGCGTGGAGGTGGCCGTGCTCTGCCTCATCCTCGTCCTGGCGCTGGGCGGCAACGCGTGCGTGCTGCTGGCGCTGCGCACCACGCGCCACAAGCACTCGCGCCTCTTCTTCTTCATGAAGCACCTGAGCATCGCCGACCTGGTGGTGGCCGTGTTCCAGGTGCTGCCGCAGCTGCTGTGGGACATCACCTTCCGCTTCTACGGGCCCGACCTGCTGTGCCGCCTGGTGAAGTACCTGCAGGTGGTGGGCATGTTCGCCTCCACCTACCTGCTGCTGCTCATGTCGCTGGACCGCTGCCTGGCCATCTGCCGCCCGCTGCGCCCGCGGCGCCGCCGCACCGACCGCCTGGCCGTGCTCGCCACCTGGCTGGGCTGCCTGGCGGCCAGCGCGCCGCAGGTGCACATCTTCTCGCTGCGCGAGGTGGCCGACGGCGTCTTCGACTGCTGGGCGGTCTTCATCCAGCCCTGGGGGCCCAAGGCCTACGTCACGTGGATCACGCTGGCCGTCTACATCGTGCCGGTCTTCGTGCTGGCCGCCTGCTACGGCCTCATCAGCCTCAAGATCTGGCAGAACCTGCGACTCAAGACGGCGGCGGCGGCGGCGGCTGAGGCCCCCGAGGGCGCGGCGGGCGCGGGCCGGGCGGCCCTGGCACGCGTCAGCAGCGTCAAGCTCATCTCCAAGGCCAAGATCAGGACGGTCAAGATGACCTTCGTCATCGTGCTGGCCTTCATCGTGTGCTGGACGCCCTTCTTCTTCGTGCAGATGTGGAGCGTGTGGGATGCGGACGCGCCCAAGGAAGGTGCGCGGGGCGGGGGCGCGGGGCGGGCGCGTCCTGCTGCCTCTTCGGTCAGGGAGGTCCTGGGGCTTGGTGGGGGTGAGCGGGTTTGGGTCACTGCTCCATCATCCCTTGGCCAAGCGACTTTGGGCAGGTAACCTCCTGAGCCTCGACTTTCTCTTCTGTGAAATGGCAGTAATGATGAGAGTGCCAACTCTCCACCGTGCACAGTGGCTCACGCCTGTCATCACAGCACTCTGGGAGGCCCAGGCAGGAGGATCGCTAAAGGGTCAGGAGTTCAAGACCAGCCTGAGCAAGAGCGAGACCCCGTCTCTACTAAAAACAGAAAGAAATTAGCTGGACAACTAAAAATATGTAGAAAAAATTAGCCAGGCATGGTGGCGCATGCCTGTAGTCCCAGCTACTCAGGAGGCTGAGGCAGGAGGATCGCCTGAGCCTAGGAGTTGGAGGTTGCTGTGAGCGAGGCTGATGCCACAGCACTCACTCTAGCCTGGGCAACTGAGTGAGACTCTGTCTCAAAAAAAAAAAAAAAAAGTACCAAGTCTCCCCAGGCAGTAGGGGAATGAAACGAGAAAACACACGTTGAGTCCTTAGCAGTCTTTGGGTGTCGTGCAGTGGTTATGGTAGACCAGGAAGCACATTCGAGAGACTGTTCACCCCCGAGTGGTCCCTGAGTGGTGGAGGTAAGTTTTGAGCCCGGGCTCAAGCTCCTTCCACTTGCAGTTCACTTTAAGTGGAGCTTCCACTTTAAGTTCAAGCTCAGCTGGAAGCCCAGAGGTCTGGTTTGGATAAGGGCAGCCTCGGGGAGATGGGAGGTGGTTGTGTCTCACCGAGCACCTTCCAGAAGGTGCCTGACAGGGTGCCGAGGGGGAGGTGGAGACCAGTCCCCAAGCCCCCTCCCCCTGTGGAGGTGATGAGCTCGGAGCTGGAGCGGTGAGTGCGGTGGGGCTGAGGGCTAGTTCGGGCTGGGGGACCAGGACCGAGACTGTGCTTCCTTTTGAGGAAGAGAGAAGAGAGCGGAGCCTGGGCCTCGGTTCTGACCTGGAGGCTGGTGGCTTCCGGGCGGGGTGCAGGCTGCTGAGGACGGGGCGGAGGGCGGGCTGTGGCCGTCCCTGGCCTGTGTCGTTGACCAGGAGGAGGTGGAAGGGGGCTGGTTTAGGGGGAGGGGGCTTGGGGAGCAGAGGCTGCCTGGGTGCCGGGCGGCTGCCCCAGGCAGGGAGCACCAGGCACGCCCGCCCCGTTGGAAAGAGCAGAGGGGCGATCACTGGGGGAGAAGGGCTTCCCCCTTTTTGTTTGAAGGTAAGCACGTACCATGTTTCCCCGAAAATAAGACAGGGTCTTCTATTTATTTTTCCTCAAGAAGACACCCTAGGGCTTATTTTCAGGGGGTGTGTTATTTTTTTTAAGTGCGGTACAACCATCTACATTGATTCAAATAGAGTGAGGTCGTCTTCTGGAACATCATCCTCACTCTCCAAACCCCGAGTCCCATCCTGAATGTCTTGCGACTCTGTTTCCTTTAGAGCCACCGGCCCCGATCTCTCCTATCGAGCACTAGAGCTGTCACGGGCGGATGAGAAGGGCTGCTCGTGTCCTTTCCCGCTCCGCGACGACACGCACGGGTTGTGCAGACGCTGCGCAGCCATGCCGTCACTAGGGCTGATTTTCGGGGTGGGCTTCTATGGCGCACGTGCTCAGACATCCTGCTAGGGCTTGTTTTATGAGTAGGGCTTATTTTTCAGGAAACGTGGTAGCACCCCCAGGGGCAGGGCCAGGCTGCTCATTCCCCGCTGTGGCCGCCAGGTGGGGGAAGAGGCCCAGGCCAGACCCCTCCGGCCCCACTGGCCTCCTGGAGGCAGACAGCCTTGTGTGCCTACTTGCGAATGCCTTAGCTATTTCTTTTGTTGCTGTTGTTGACATTTCTGTAGGATTTTTTTTTAAAGATTTTATTTAAGGTAGGATAAAAAAGTTAAAAGATCCAAATGTAAAGAGCGAGACAAAGGGCTTAAATGGACAGAGAAAGATTTTACCATGTAACTGCCTACAGCGAGAGCAATGTCGTCTCTTTCTGTCCAAGTGTGAACTTCGTTCCTGGCGTTTCTTCCTGCCCCATTTCCTAGCTCTGCACACCTGCAGACTCTCCTTTGTGGCTCTTTGTGTACTTCTTGCTGCCTTTCTAAATTCTGACTTTTTTACATCGAATTTGCCTCTTTTATGATTTTGAAGACATTCTGTTTTAGTCTTGTGGGTGATCTTTAATTCTGTTGGTGAAATCTTTTAACGGAATCTCTAAACTTAAGTTCATCTTCTTCTCCATTAAAATCAAAGCAAATTTTTAGGAAACTTTTTTTTTTTGTTTTTTTGAGACAGAGTCTCACTCTGTCACCTGGGCTGGAGTGCCGTGGCGTCAGCCTAGCTCACAGCAACCTCAAAATCCTGGGCTCAAGCGATCCTCCTGCCTCAGCCTCCCAAGTAGATGGGACTATAGGCATTCGTCAGCATGCCTGGCTCATTTTTTCTATATATTTTTAGTTAACCAATTAATTTCTTTCTATTTTTAGTAGAGACGGGGTCTCACTCTTGCTCAGGCTGGTTTCAAACTCCTGACCTTGAGCAATCCCCCCGCCTCAGCCTCCCAGAGAGCTAGGATTACAGGCGTGAGCCACCTCGCCCGGCCAAGAAACTTTTTTATTAAAAGGAAGGGATTCAGTAGTATTAGCTTTATTTTTTTCTTTTGTTTATCCTCTTTTCCCTTGTTTATTATTTCAGTTCTAGGATTAGATTCCCTTCCTTTGCTCTCTTAAAAATTCTCTTTCGCAAGAACTTTGTTTTCCGGCGGCTGTAACTTGCTTTTGTTCTAACAGGTGCTCCAATTAATCAGACCTGAGGTTCTTAAACTTGAGCCTGTGTCAGGATTTCCGCAGATGGCTGACCCCCACCCCCAGAGGGTGTGACTCAGTGGTCCTGGGTGGGGGCCTGAGAATTTGCATTTATAAATTCCCAAGTGACACTATGCCCCACTGTGAGAACCACTCCCTTAGAATTCCCAGCAACTGCCTTTCTCTGCTTGGTGCTTGGAAACTTTGCTGCCGACATCTTTGTTCCCTTCATGGTTGGCTGCTCTGGGTCTCACAGCTTCCTGCTAGCCTGCCCAGGGAAGAGCCCTCCCTGGATTCAACTCTTGAATTCTAGAGGTATTTTTTGGAAAAATTTGCAGGAAAGACAGGAAGAAGGCAGGTGGGTTTGCCCTGCCTTCGCTTGTAAGGATGTGTCGGAACAGGATTCTTGGTCATGTTGTTTTCTTCGTGGGTCTCTGGGGAAGTGGCCTGGGCTCACCTGTGGGCAGGAGGGTCAGGCTGGGCAGACTGAAGGCCGCTGACAGAAGCCCAGACTGTTTCCCTTTGCTCGGACATACCTAAGATTCAGACACTTTTATTCCCCACTCAAAGCTTAAATGTGTGACAAGCAATATCTTGAAGTTGATTTCTTTTTTTATTTTTTTGAGACAGAGTCTCACTCTGTTGCCTGGGCTAGAGTGAGTGCCGTGGCGTCAGCCTAGCTCACAGCAACCTCCAACTCGTGGACTCAAGCGATCCTCCTGCCTCAGCCTCCCAAGTAGCTGGGACTACAGGCATGGGCCACCGTGCCCGGCTAATTTTTTCTCTATATATTTTTAGTTGCCAGCTAATTTCTTTCTATTTTTAGTAGAGACGGGTTCTCGCTCTTGCTCAGGCTGGTCTTGAACTCCTGACCTCGAGCAATCCTCCTGCCTTGGCCTCCCAGAGTGCTGGGATGACAGGGGTGAGCTGCCACGCCCGGCCTTGAAGTTGATTTCCAATCATTAATTTTGCCTGAAACTCTAGGCGTCCTCAGCGCCTCAGCTTTTACCCGGCGCCGGGGCGAATGTCAGGGTCATGCTTTCTTTTTGTTTGAGTCTCACTGTCAAGCCGAGGCAGTGCTCGTAGGGGCATCTTCACAGCGTCACTTCTTTCACTCTGCTCGGCCGTGAGGACACCGTCCACTTCTGTGCCGCCCAGCCTTTGCGGGGGCCCCCGCTTCTGCCCGGAGACCCGCCCGCCCCCGTCTCGGACCCCGCGTCCTCGCAGCGCTTGCAGCCCTTTGTGTGGGGCCGCTGGGCGCTGTCGCCAGCTGCACCTCCCTGTCCCCGCCCAGCCCCCGCGTCCCGGTGTCTCTTGTCCGGTTCATTTTGTGACCTCCGTGTCCAACCTGGTGCCTCTCTTAGCCGCCATTTATTGGGCACTTACTGTGTACCAGGCGCTGTTTAATCCCTGCGGTATTCCGGGGAGGTCTGGGCTCTCTCATGGTCCCTGTGCAAGGATTGGGAGAGCCGGGCTTCTTGGGACTTGAAGGGAGTACCGTGTTTCCCGGAAAATAAGCCCTACCCGTAAAACAAGCCCCAGCAGGATGTCTGAGCACGTGCGCCACAGAAGCCCCACCCCGAAAATCAGCCCTAGTGACGGCGTGGCTGCGCAGCGTCTGCACAACCCGTGCGTGTCGTCGCGGAGCGGGAAAGAACACGAGCAGCCCTTCTCCTCCCCCCGTGACAGCTCTAGTGCTCCACAGGAGAGATCAGGGCGGTGGCTCTAAAGGAAACAGAGTCGCAAGACATTCAGGATGGGACTCGGGGTTTGGAGAGTGAGGATGATGTTCCAGAAGAAGACGACTTCACTCTATTTGAATCAGTGTAGATTGTTGTACTGCACTTAAAAAAAATGACACGTCCCCTGAAAACAAGCCCTAGGGTGTGCTCTTGAGGGAAAATAAATAGAAGCCCCTGTCTGATTTTCGGGGAGACTTGGGAGCTGCTGGTGGGGCTGGAATGCAAGCTGGGCATGGCGGCTGCTGGACCCTGGATGTCGCAGGCACCTGAGCTTGCTGGATGAGGGATGCGTGAACAGGTGGCCGTGATGTGTGCAGCTTGTTCCTGCTGGGGCCGGGGCAGCCTCAGGGAGCCTCTACCAGGAAAGAAAGAGGCAGGGGTGGGTGCAAGGCTGGGCCGAGCCTGGAAGGGCATGGCATGGAGGGAGGCGCACTCTCCCTGTCTACAGTGTTTCCCCGAAAACAAGACAGGGGCTTATATTTCTTTTTCCCCAATAAGACACCCTAGGGCTTATTTTCAGGGAATGTGTTATTTGTTTTTTAACTACGGTACAACCATCTGCATTGATTCCAATAGAGTGAAGTCATCTTCTCCCGGAACATCATCCTCACTCTCCAAACCCCGAATCCCATCCTGAATGTCTTGCGACTCTGTTTCCTTTAGAGCCACCGGCCCCGATCTCTCCTGCTGAGCACTAGAGCTGTCACGGGCGGAGGAGAAGGGCTGCTCGTGTTCTTTCCCGCTCCGCGACGACACGCACGGGTTGTGCAGACGCTGCGCAGCCACGCCCGGCACTAGGGCTGATTTTCGGGGTGGGGCTTCTATGGCGCACGTGCTCAGACATCCTGCCAGGGCTTGTTTTATGGGTAGGGCTTGTTTTCAGGGAAACACAGTAGTATGTTGTCTTGTGATGAGGACGAGGCACTTGGACAAAGCCGTTGCTCGGGGTGCCGCGTCTGGGGCGGGCAGGTGTGGGAGCTGGTCCGGTCTTGACGCCCTGTCACCTGTCTCTCTCCCCCCCGCCAGCTTCGGCCTTCATCATCGCCATGCTCCTGGCCAGCCTCAACAGCTGCTGCAACCCCTGGATCTACATGCTCTTCACGGGCCACCTCTTTCATGAACTCGTGCAGCGCTTCCTCTGCTGCCCCTCCAGCCGCCAGCAGGGGAGCCGGCCGGGCGAGACCAGCCTCAGCAGAAAGAGCGGCTCGTCCTCCTTCGTCCTGAGCCGCCGCAGCTCGAGCCAGAGGAGCGGCTCCCAGCCCACCGTGGCGTGACCCGCCGGCCTGGGCCAGCGCCGCCCCATGAGGCGCAGGCTGTGCCAACTGGGCCGCACCGCAACTTGGTGTCGGTGTACGTGCACAAGGTACCTGTCAGCCTGAATGCCTCCGCTCCTGGGGGTGGCCTACGCAGAGCGGGAGGTGGTCTCCAGGGTGGAAGATGAAGAAGACTCAGCCAGCACGTAATCCCCCCCCCCCTCCTGGGCTCCTCCCACACACACATTTCTGTCTGCCTGTGACCCAGCTGCTACCCTGGGTATGGGTGGGCCACGTCCCCCCGCCCTCCCCACCTGTCATGTCACTCTACTATCTTTTTACGCCTTTGTTCTGGGATCTTGTGAGAGGTGGTGAAATAAGATTGGTGGCCAGTTGGGCCAGGAATCCCAGTATTGTGAGAATTGGGGTGAGGAGTGGGGATGGGGCTCCTGCTGGGGAGGGTGGCACCTTTGCCTTTGAGTGGGCAGATCCTGGTGCCCCTGGGGACCGGTTCGTGGGAGGGTAGCCCTGGGAGCTAGCAGTTATCCCGTAAGACCATCTGGCCCAGGGAGGAGATTAGAACATGGATTGTTTAAGAAGAAGCACTTGGAAAAGAAAAAGAAATGAAAGGAAGATTGGATTGGAAGGGAAGGAAAGATTGGAAAGGAAGAAGTAGAACTATTTGCAGATGACATGGTTTTGTCTATGGGAAATCCTAAGGAACTTACACACAAACACACACACATACACACACCCCCTCAGTAGAACTAATAAACAAGTTCAGCAAAGTGGCAGGATGCCAGATCAATATACAAAAGTAAGTTGTATTTCTCTACACTAGTAATGAGCGATATGAGAATGAAATTAATAAATAATTCCATTTATAATAGGATCAGAAAGGATACATAGGGGAAAATGTAACAAAAGAAGTACAAGACTTGTACCCTGAAAACTACAACCTACTATTGAAAGAAATTAAAGAAGACTTAAATAAATAGGAAGGCCATGTTTGTGGGTCAGAGACTCAATATTGTTCAGAGAGCAATACTGTCCTAACTGGTACACAGATTCAATTCAATCCTTGTTAAAAGCCCTAGCAGGCTTCTCTGCAGAAATGAGTGGGCTGGTCCTAAAATTTGTGAGGAGATACAAGGAGTCCAGAATAGCCAATAAATCTTGAGAAAGAAGAATGAGGTTGGTGGATTCAGACTTCCTGATTTCAGAACTCACTATAAGGCTACGATAATGAAAACAGCATGGGACTGGCTCAAGGGTAGACATCCAGAGCAGGGGGATAGAATAAAGAGTCAGATACGAACACCTACATTTATGGTCAGTTGATTTTTGACAAGGGTGCCAAGATGATTCGCCGGGGAAGGAGGAGTGTTATCAGCAGATGGTGCCGGGACGGTTGGATGTGCCAAAGCCTGACGTTAAACTCCACTTCCCTTACACCATATGCAAAAATTAACTCCAAATGCATCCAAGACCTAAATGTAAGAGCTAAAACTAAAATTCTGAGAAGGAAACGTAGGCATAAAGCTTTGTCAACTGAGGTTAGGCAGTGGCTTCTTAGCTACGACACCAAAGACCCAAACAACCAAAAGAAAAATAGATCAATCGGACGTAGTCAAGATATAACGCTTTTGTGATTTAAAGGATGCTACCAGGAAAACGAAAAGACGACCCACAGAATGGGAGAGATGTTTGCAAATCGTATATCTAATGAGAGACTTGTCTCCAGAATATATAAATAACTCTTGCAATGATAAAAAGAGAAATAAACCAATTAAAAATGGGCTAAAGAGTTAAATAGACATTTTTCCAAAGAAGGTACACAAACAGCCAATAAGCACATGAAGAGATGCTCAGCATTGTATAATTCTCTAGGGAATGCAAAGTGAACTCACGGTGAGAGTCCACTTCACACCCCCGAGGGCTACTGGAATGACAGGGAGGGGCAATAGCAGGTGTCGGGAGGATGCAGAGAATCTGGAAACCCACACACACGGCTGGCGGGTATGCGAATGGTGCAGCCCTTCGGAAAACAGTTCAACGGTTCCTCAAAACCTTAAATATGGAATCACCGTGGGACCCGGGAAATGCCACTCGTGGGTATTTGCCCAAGATAAATGAAAACGTACATAGGCATAAAAACACGTAAAACTCTGATGTCCGTAGCACCGTGACTTATAACAGCCTAGGGTGGAAACAGCCCACCCGTCCATTGAACGAAGAGTGGGAGACAAGGCGTGCCAGGCCGGCTGTAGAAGAAAGGAAGCCTTGGCGTTTGCTGCAGGGCAGGTGGACCTTGGAAACTCCCCGAGCGAAAGAAGCCAGTCGCACAAGGCCACATGCTGTCTGATCCCATTTACACGGAATGTTCCAGAACAGACGGATCCTTAGAGACGGAATATGGACCAGTGTTTGCCGGGGAGCCCGGGGGCTGTTGGAAATGGGGACTGACTACTCAGGGTGTGGGGTTTCTTTTTTGGGGGGTGGTGGTGAGAATGTTCCGGAGTCGGCGGTGACGGCACGCGATTTAGAGACGTACTAAGAAACACTGAATTGTACACTTAAAAAAGCTAAAAATAAAAAAACATATGTTTATAGCAGGTGCATTCAGAGAAAACCAGCTTGATGAATGAATTCCTTGGAATCCACGTCTCAGCCTCCCGGAGCCTGTTTCTCCCTGACTCACCACTGGGCGGCGCAGGGGTTTCTCCCTCGGTTTCTCTGCAAGACGCGCCTTTCCGTCTGGGCGAAAGCGCCGCCGCGAGCCGCAGGGCGAGCGCGCAGACGCTGGTCTTGGCGGCCGAGCCTCGGGCGCCTCTTGCCTGGCAAGCCTGCTCCGAGCGCCCTGGCCTCCGTGGAAGGCGGGCGCGCCGCGTCTGAGGAAGCTCCCCGCCACCACCCGCGGCGCGCCCTCCGCGGCCTCCGCCGGCCACCACACGCGGCGCGCCCTCCGCGGCCTCCGCCGGCTCGCCCACTCGGGCGCGCTCGGTTCCGACACGTTTCGCACTTCCTGAGAACACGCAGGAGCACACGCCTCGAAAGCCACAGGCCCCTTCGCTTCTTTCTTTCTTTCGTTTTTTTTTTTTGAGACAGAGTCTAATTGTGTTGCCCGGGCTACAGTGCCGTCAGCCTCGCTCACAGCAACCTCAGACTCCTGGGCTCAAGCGATCCTCCTGCCTCAGCCTCCCGAGTAGCTGCGACTACAGGCATGCGCCACCACGCCCGCCTAAATTTTTCTTTATGTGTTAGTTGGCCAATTAATTTCTTTCTATTTATAGTAGAGACGGGGTCTCGCTCTTGCTCAGGCTGGTGTCAAACTCCTGACCTCCAGCGATCCTCCCGCCTCGGTCTCCGAGTGCTGGATGAAGGCGTGAGCCCCGCCCGGCCTGGCCACTTTCTTTCTTTAGAGCCCGACTCCTGCCTCCCCCACGCCACGGCCGACGCACACACACGCTAGAAGGAGCTAGAATGGTCTAGAAGTCATGAGAGAAGGGCGGCTGAGCCCTGAATTTGAGGAAAGTCTCCGGAGTTAACGGGGCGGCAGCCGTGCCACCTCTGGACTCAGGGCGTTCGTTGCTGGGACAGGCACGGAGGGCGTCCACACCAGCCGGTCCCCGCTCTCCGGGCAGCTACAGGGTGCCTGCTGGGGTCTCCATGCCCGAGCACCGGCCCCGGGGCCCTGTGGGCGGGAACGGCGGGGCCTGTGGGCGGGAACGGCGGCCCTGTGGGCGGGAACGGCGGGGCCCTGTGGGCGGGAACGGCGGGGCCCTGTGGGCGGGAACGGCGGCCCTGTGGGCGGGAACGGCGGCCCTGTGGGCGGGAACGGCGGCCCTGTGGGCGGGAACGGCGGGGCCTGTGGGCGGCCGAACGGCGGCCTGTGGGACGGGAACGGCGGCCTGCTGGGCGGGAACGGCGGTCCCTGGATGGGCGGAACGGCGGGCTGTGGACAGGGACGGCCGGGGCCCTGTGGCGAGGGACACACGGCGGCCCTGTGGGCGGGAACGCGCGGCCCGTTGGCACCAGTATAGGCCCCACAACTCGCCTGGCCCCGGCCGGCCGGGCTTCCTGCTGCTGTCCCGGGGCCGCCTGCTACCGCAGCAGCAGAGGCCCGCCAGGCCGGGGGCGGGCGGTCGCGTGAGCTGTTCCCTACGGGCACGGGCCGTTTCGGCGAACCCTGGGGCGGTGGAGAGAGCCGAATCCGGGGACACGACTCGTCTCCCCGGGCGAAAGCCGAGTGGGTCCGCGCGGCCGCTGTGAGGCCTGCTGTGGAGGCCGAAGGTTCCGGACACCGGCGTGTTCGGGTGTGCGTGTGCGGGCGGCCCGCCCTTCCTGGTGCTTGCCGTGTCCGCAGCGGCCACGCCTGCGCCGCTAGGGCCGTCAGGGCTAGGTGGCGCCGCGTGGGTCGGACCGGCCGGGCTCAGCGCCTGCGGGGCCAGGGGAGGTCGTGCGGGAGAGACCGAACCAAAGCCTGCCTGGTGTGCCTGGGGAGGTCCCCGGCGTCGCGCCAAAAGACTTTTCCTCGTCGGGGCCTGTCGCTGGGCCGAGGACGACCAATCTCACTGTGGACCCTGACTCCCAGGGACGTGGGGGGTGGGGCCGAGGCCCCAAACCAAAGGCGGAACCGCCGAGACAGACACGCCGGCGGCCCTGGGGTGACGGAGGGGGAGGCAGTCCGGGGATCGCGCGGCCGCCGTCCCTGGGTCGAGGGCGGGGAGCAGCGGGGACGCGCGCCGGCCGTCCCTGGGTCGACCGTGGGGGGACAGCGGGACGCGCGCCGCCGCCTGGGTCGAGGGCGGGGGAAGCTGGGGACGCGCCCGGCCGTACCCTGGGTCGACGGAGGGGAAGCAGCCGGGCGCCGCCCGCCGTCCCTGGGTTCACGGGAGGGGGAAGCCCGGGGACGCGCGCGCCGTGGGTCCCTGGGTCGGAGGGGAGCCGTCGGGGAGCGCGGCCGCCGTCCTGGGGTCGAGCGGAGGGGGAGAGCAGCCGGGGTACGCGCGCCGGCCGTCTCCCTGAGTCGAGGGCGGGGAGGCAGGGGGCGCGGCCGGCCCGTTCCGCTGGGTCCGATCCGTGGGGCGGAGCAGCGGGACGCGCGCCGCCGTCCTGGGGTCGACCCGGAGGGGGAAGCCAGCGGGACGCGCCCGGCCTCCTGGTCACCGGGGGGAAGCCAGCGGGACGCGCGGGCCGGCGTCTAGGGTCGACGGAGGGGGAGCCACGGGGGAACGCGCGCCGGCCGTCCCTGGGGTGAGGAGGCGGAAGCAGCCGGGACGCCGCGCCGGCCCGTCCCTGGGTCGGACGGAGGGGAGCAGCGGGGGACGGCGCGCCGGCGTGCCTGAGTGAGGGCGGGGGAAGCAGCGGGGGACGCGAAGGCCGGCCGTCCCTGAGTCCGAGGGCGGGGAGGCAGGCGGGAGCGCGCCGGCCGTCCATGAGTCAGGGCGGGGAGCAGCGGGGGACGCGCGGGCCGGCCGCTCCCTGGGTCGAGGGCGGGGACGTCAGGGCGGGACGCGCCGGCTCCCAGACACACAGGAACGGCTGACAGCAGCCAGAACCCTTTTAATTTGGAGCTGTCTGCCACTCGCCCGACGCGAGCTCCGGGGCTCCTTGGGCGGCGTGGGGCCGTGGCGTGGGGCGGCGTAGGGCGGGCGTGGGGGCGGCCGTGGGGCGGGGGCGGTGTGGGCGGGGCGGTTGGGGCGGGCGGGAACGCGTGTCGGTGCAGAGCCGCGCGCAAGACTGCAGCGGCTGCCTGCTGTGCCGCCACGCCTCCTCCCCCACGGGCCGTGGGCGGCCGGGCCTCGGGCTGGGCCCGTTGTGTGAGTTTCCTGAGACCATGAGTCCTCACCACCGCCGGCTAGAGTGCCCGTGGCGTCAGCTCGCTAACACAACGCTCACCCTCCTGGGCTCAAGCGATCCTCCCTGCCTCAGCCTTCCGAATAGCTGGGATTCAGGCAGTGCGCTCACCGGATGCCTCCGCTAGTTGTTTTCTCTATATTATTTTAGTTGGCCAATAATTTTCTTTCAATTTTTAGTAGAGAGCGCGGTCCTCTGCTCTTGGTGTCAGGCTGATCTCGAACGTC